CGTCTCCCCCCTCCCCAATACGGGTTCAGGGACCGAAGGGGGTCCCCGTCCCCCTGTCCGGCCAGGAGCCCATTTCTCTCCCCCCTTTCCCTCCATCCCGGCCCCCAGAAATGGGGTGTTTGGCCTTTTAGGATAACAAAAATCAATTTCCAAAGGGCTGAAAAGGGGAATTAGCGAAGGCTGTTGTGCTCTTTCTCGGGGCGTTTTGCTTCTTTTTTTCTTCATTATTGATTCAGAGTCATTTGGAGTCCGGCAGCTTCTAAATCCAACAAATAAAGAAACAAATAAACCAGTAAACAAGCAAGCTAGAATTTATAACCACGATTCAGTGTTTAACTTTAAACCAAGATGTAAACCTCAATCATATGGAAATATTTATCTGCTTTTTCCGCTGCCGTGTGGAAAAGCTGATTCAAAGGCTGAGAAACTTTGTTGGGCCAATTTTTGGAGTCTGAGAGAAAAGCCTCCCTCGAAACCGCCTTTTCCGTAACAGACTCAGCCGCACCTTTAGCCAAATCCCTTCCGTCTTCGTAGCTGGGAAGGTCCCAGTTTGGGGGACGGAGTTAAAAAAAAGAAAACATGAAAATTGAGATTCAGGTCATAAGAAACTCATCCAACGTTCATTAAACCCTGAAGCCATCGATGGTTTAATGTAAGACAGCCTGATTCTCTGTTCCAGATTTCTTGTGAATTACCTAAATTTGTTTTTGGAATTTTAATTCTTTGCATAATAATACATTTATTTATTTGTGTCAGAGTTCCAGAGGCCAAGCATTGTGCAAATGGAGTGTTTTAGCTGCACCTGTTGCCATTCTGCCTTTTCGGGGTAATTCTATTTCTTAGGTAAAACCTCAAGAGTTGTTGATATCCCAGTTTTGAGCTCAAGTTTTCCAAAAATAATGTGTCACCACAGAATTAAATAAGATGTTTCTTCCGTAAGAGGAAAACCGCCACCATCTTAAGAGAGAAAGACCTTGGACAGGGAGATCCTGGGCATTTGCTCCTTCCGTAAATAATCGAATATTTCAGGAGAACCAAAAGAGACATTCCTCTCCACAGATACAGTCTGCAGGCAAAACTCATTTTCACTCACAAATTCTTCCCTGCAAATTTAGGAGGATTTTCATCTGCCAAATAATATAATACAATACTTTAGAAAATAAATAAGTCATATTCTCTTAAATTTGAGAGATGCAGTTTAAAATGTTCTTATCCACCAAAGAGGATATTTTTCTGGAGAAACTAATCCCCAAGTATTTAGTTACTTCAGGACAATATTTAAAATGTATTTTTTTCCCTACAACCCACACAACGTTCTTGTCAACTGTCATAATATTAAATAATATTAATTCACATTCTCACAGTATTTACCATATTTACTTCATTACTTCTGCTAATTTGTCTAGTGATTTTTGATAGCCCCCCAAAGCCCCCAAAGATCATCTGCAAATTGCTTCGGTTTCATGAGTTTGTCTCATGAGGCGTCTCAGGGCTTCCAACTGCCCTCTTCAAGGTTCCTCCTTCAGGGGTCCATCCATCCATCCATCCATCCATCCATCCATCCATCCATCCATCCATCCAT